CCCAACGTTGGTGACGTGATGACGTCACTTCCAGGATGGACCCTGGAGCCCCCCACTCGCAGCCTGGCAACCCTATCACTAGGCTTAGTTGTTCTTCCTGTTTCATGTAATTTACAAAGTAATATTTTTCTATGCTTCTACAGAATCGTCCAAGAATGCAGAAACATTTACCTTGTCAACAGGTGGCTCTGTTTCACTGTCCTGCTGATAGGCTCAGGAGGATCCTCAGCTCTTCCTATTAGAGGGAAGGTGGTGGCTGGCAAGGAATCAAAGGGATTCTCCTAAGGGGGAGGGAGAAAAATTGGGAGATTTCCCCTCCGCCATAGGGCAAGATGGCTAACCTCTGGTGATGTTTCCCTTCACGCCCTTCATGCCAGGTCTCCCTTGACCACCAGCAGGAGGGCAGGGTTGCCAGCTCCAGACTGGGAAATTCCTGGAGATCTGAGTGTGAAGTCTGGGGGAGAGAGGTTAACTGCGCAGACTCTAATCTGGGAGAACCGGGTTTGATTCCCCACTCCTCCACTTGCAGCTGCTGGATGACCTTGGGCAAGCCATAGTTCTGGCACAGCTGTTCTCTCAAGAGCAGTCCTTGAAAGAGCTCTCTCAGCCCCACCTACCTCACAGGGGAGGGGAGGGGAAGGGAAAGGAGATTGTAAGCGTCTCTGAGACTCCCAGTGAAGGGCGGGGTATAAATCCAGTCTCTTCTTCATCATCATCTATGTCTTGTTTTCTGTAAAAAGCAACTCCCAACTGAACCACACCCACTGACTTTTATATGTAAACAGGTGGACTCTTAAATATATGTGCATTCCCATCTTTGCCACCAGGTGGGCCTCAATACTGCAGAACAGAGTCCAGTGGCACCTTTAAGACCAACAAAGTTTTATTCAAAGTGTTAAGCTTTCATGTGCAAAGTACACTTCTTCAGATAAATTGGAGTGGAAGTCTGCTCTGCACCCGGAAGCTTACACTATAAAACTCTGTTGGGTCTCAATGGCGCCACTGGACTCAAACTTTGTTCTACTGCTTCAGACCAACATGGCTACCCCTACCTGAATCTTGAGTAGGTTTGAGAGATCCAGTGTCATGTACCAGTTCAAGTCACTCAGCACTGACCAGAAAGACCCAGGGTTTAAACCCCCATTTGGTCAAGAAGCCCACTGTGGGCTGGTCACCATCTCTCACCTTACCTCACAACGTTGGTGTAAGGGTAAAATGGAGGAACAGAGGCTCACGTATGCCGCTTCAGTAGTGGGGAAAGATGTGGTAACGTTTGTGTGTGGAGAATTTCCGCCCACCAACAGGGGACCAGCTGGCTCCCTAGGAGAAGGAGCAATGTTCAGAGGGCTGAGGAAGACAGCTAATAGTTTTATTGATGTATTTCTTTCAAAATCTATACCCCTGCCTTTTAACCACAGGTTTTTCCTCAGAGAGAACTGAAGGGCTGTCCTCTGAGGTGTTTCTATTTGACCTGAGTGTAAGCGTGGTTTTCTGAAGAAAAGCTGTCCTGTGTGAATAGTTCAGATTATGGCTGTGGAGAAATTGCCAGTGTTCAGGAGTGGGCTCCATTTCCCACAGCACCTTGTCAAAACCAGCTTTGCTGCAAAGGAAAGCTGGCAGCCAGAATACCAGCTGGAGAAATACTGTTGTCCACATACCCAAATCAACAGTTTCTCTGTTGAAGGACATATTCAACCCCAGTAGAATATTCTAATCGCCTCCCAAAATTCTGAGGAAGGCCGAAAAGGATGTATTTTCCCCCTCACACCTTGAACTCTGAGCAATTACTTCAGTGCTAACATAGTTTTTCCCTCTTCTTCACAAAATGCTGAGAAGTAGGTTACGCTCCTAACCTAACCTAACTTTGGCCGCTTTGTGACCAAGTGGAAATTTGAACCCAAGTCTCTCTAACAGCCACCACTTTAACCCTTATATTAAAAAAGGTAAAGGTTCCCTTGCTCAAAAGCCAGTCGAATCTGACTCTAGGGCTGCGGTGCTCATCTCCGTTTCAAAGATGAAGAGCCAGCGCTGTCCGAAGACGTTTCCGTGGTCATGTGGCCGGCATGACTAAACACCAAGGTGCACAGAATGCTGTTACCTTCCCACCGAAGTGGTCCCTATTTATCTACTTACAATTTCTTGCTTTCGAACTGCTAGGTTCGCAGGAGCTAGAACTAGAGATGGGAGCTCACTCCATCATGCGGCACCCGGGTCTCGAACTGCTGAACTACTGACCTTCCACAGCCTGCAGTTCAGCGTCTTAACTACTTGAGCCAATGCAGCTCCGTAACCCTTATATACACTCGCTCTATTTGGCTATTAGGAAGGCCCCCACCCTTCTATTGTTTTGCAAAAAGGGGCCTAATAGGATTGTTCAGGAGGGCATTTTTGTAGAGGAAGCAGACCAGGGTATCCCAAAACTACCTTCTCCCATAGACCCCTGCTTTTCCACACAAGGTCCTAGGTTCAGTTTTTGGTACTTCCCACAAAAAGGTGTTATGTAGTGTTGTGAAAGATTCCAGATGAGATCTCAGACAGCCACAAGACGTAAAAGACAACAGTGGTGAGCTAGAGAGACCAATAGTCAGCATGTATTTTGAGGAAGGGGCCACAGGAGTACTGGGTCTGCCTGCAGATTCCAGATTAAATCCTAGTTTAGTGTTGTGCAATGGTGAGATCTGGACTAGGACTGGCTCGAAAGCCAGTCGAATCCGACTCTAAGGTTGCGGTGCTCATCTCCGTTTCAAAGCCGAACAGCCAGCGCTATCCGAAGACATTTTCGTGGTCATGTGGCCAGCATGATTAAACATCAAGGCGCATGGAACGCCGTCACCTTCCCACTAAAGTGGTACCTATTTATCTACTTGCAATTTCTTGCTTTCAAACTGCTAGGTTGGCAGGAGCTGGAACTAGAGACGGGAGCTCACTCCGTTATGCGGCACACTTGGGTCTCAAACTGCTGAACTACCGACCTTCCACAGCCTGCAGTTCAGCGTCTTAACCACTTGAGCCACCGCAGCCAGTTATCCTCTTTCCAGTCCAACTTACCTCACAGGGCAGCCGTGAAGATAAACAGAAGAGGGGAACACCCTATAACATCACCCTGAGCTCCTCAGAGGAAAGGTAGAATGTGTCTCAGACAATTCTAACCCACTTCGCAGGCTGGTTGTAAGGATAAAATAGAAAGGGAGACATTATGTACCCTATCATTAAGCTCCTTGGAGCAAGGGCTGTCTAAACATTGATAGACAAGTTTGCCCTGACACCTTGGGGAGATGTTTTGCCTACATCAGCCTCCCCTACCCTGCTTTGCACCATTTATTTTGTGCTACTGTTGTGGCTGTCCACCCACCTGCCCAGTACCTGGTTCCAACTTTGGGCACACCTATAGATTGTTTTTTGGGGAGCACTTAATAATTTGTACCTGACCGCCATCCTGAATTGTACCATCTGATGTTTGTATAGGTTTTTAATACTGTGTAATTATGTTTTAATTGTTTTATATTAGTTGTATATATCTGTTGTGTAACCCGCCCTGAGCCCTGCTGTGCAGGGAGGGAGGGAGGGAAGAACGAAGGAAGGAATTTAAAAAGACGCCATTCTGCAGTTTCTCAAAATCTCAAAACTTTATTGAATAAACAAACCCTATCGCTATTGTTTATTGAATGCCTATGGCCTCTAGGCGCTTTGTAACAGTACAAAGGATGCCGCTGGCTCACTTCAGAACTTTCGACAGCATTTTAAAGCTGCCACCATTTACCCAGGAGGATACCTCCACATCCCCGCAGCCCCAAGATCAATCCATTGGACACTTTGCAACCCAGATTTAACCTTTCCCATCTCTCCAACCACATTGACATCCCAACTTTTTCAAAACTTGCCTCTTGTTTTGCAAAATCCCTTTCCTCCTTAGAATCAAGTAAATATAATTAAAAAACATATCTCTACCCAACATGCTTAGCAGCCTCGCTTCCCTGTGGGCACTTTTAGAAATTGATTCACTCATGTAGTGCTATCGCTCTTCATAGCACTAGGAGAGATCAACTGAAGCACAAAACATAATTGGAGGGGCCATGATAGCATAAATGCAGACAGTCCCTGCCTATGCCCAGGGGCAAAAGCCATTCTCAGACACTTTTTAAAAGACATCTGCAGTTCAAGTCTCTTGGACGGCTGTTTTCAGCCTCCTTCCTCACACAAGTCTCTTCATTCTCTGTGCTGTTAAAGGGTCCTGGAGGACTGATATATATATTTAGTTCATTTATCAGTTTCTTTCAATGCTCAGAGCCTCTGCTTTTGGTTGACTCAATTCGATTTTGAAATTTGGGTGTTTAGGAAGTTTCATTTGGGGTCGCTGTACTGGAATTTCTTTCTGTTCTGAAGTTGACTGGGGCTTATGCTATTATTTGGGAGCCTCCTAAATTGGAATATATTTCACGATTCCCTGGTGGTTTAATCTTTATTATAAGCAGAGGTGCTGGCTTGGGGTATTCATGTCAGAGTTCAACAGTTACCTGACAGGTAATCTCAATGAATCCAATGGGACTTGGACCTCAGCAAACACTGCTGCTAGTCAGCTAAATTCAGGAACATTTTTTTTAAAGGCATGTGAGATTTTTATAAGTGTTTGGCTGATTTAACTTTATTGGATATAAGGAAGGCCCCCCACCAGTGTTCCCTCTAAGGTGAGATAGTGTGAGCTAGCTCACAGTTTTTTAGCCTCCGGCTCACACATTTTGGGTCTTAGCTCAGGAAGGATGGCTCCAGAGCAAACTAATTTATGCAGTAGCCAAATCACTCACTCACAGCTTTAATGGCAGTAGCTCACAAAGTAGAATTTTTGCTCACAAGACTCCACAGCCTAGAGGGAGCATTGCTGTGCCTCCAATTTTTTGCTCATTTCAAAAGCTTTTTATCTGCACAAAGTATTTGAGCTTCCGTAATCCAGGAGCAAGGCATATTGCAAAGTATGCAAAGCCCTAGAACCAGATTTCTCTCCTCGCTGAATTTTCGTTGATGTTTCGCAAGGTGATGTTACGTTATCCTCGGAATGTAAACACCACTAGAAGCCTCGATGAATTCTCTGATGTCGCAGGAATTTCTCCTTATGAATAAAGCTTTTCCCACACTCGGGGCATTCGTAACGTTTTTCCCTTGTATGTATTCTCTGATGTTGATTCAGTTTATCTCTCCGGTAAAAGTTTTTCCCACACTTGGGACATTCGTGCACTTTCTCTCCAGTATGGATCCTCTGGTGTCTCAAGAGATTTGTTCTCTGGTTGAACCATTTCCCGCACTGAGGACATCCGAACGGTTTCTCCCCTGTGTGGATTATCTGATGGACCATGACAGCTCCTCTGGACGTGAAGCTTTTCCCACACACCGGACATTCGTAAGGATTCTCACCCGTATGAACCTTCTGGTGTCTCAGCAGGTTCGATCTCAGGTGGAAGCTTTTGCCACATTCGGAGCACACATACGACCTCTCTCCCATTTGGATCATCTGGTGCTTAACAAGATATGATTTGGGCTGTAGGTTATCCCCTGATATGGGATGTTCAAAGAAGTCCTCTGCAGCATGATCGATAACAAATCCTGATCGGCAGTGGTACCTTCTACCATACCTGGAGACTAAGGGCTTTTTTGCCCGGGAGGACACTGCAGAGTTCCCAATAACAGAAGCTGTAAATGCGATCTCACTGCACCCGTGCTCTTCCTCTGCTGGCTTTGTCCCCCGATCCCCGCGGTACTTGCATCTTTGCTCATAAATTTCTGCTGTCACCGGACTCTCCCAGGGAGAGATTTCTGCTAATGTCCACTGTGCTTCTTCTGGGCCCAGCTCTACCTGCTGCCAGTTCTCCACCTTGATCTGACTTCTCTTCTCGTCACCTGAAGAGACAGAGAGAGGAATTTTGTCCATGCTCTGGTCACCGCTTGTTTAGAGCCCAGTAAATTCTCAATGGGGGGGGGGGATCCTGAAACTTCCCTCCCAGCTCCACATCCAACTGATTCAAGAGCCTCTGCTGAACTTATCCCTCCGTTGCTGCCCCTATGATCACATGGCCCCTCTTAAACCTAGAGCATTCTTCCCTTTCAGAAAAGAGAACCTAAATAGTTCTAATTCTATGCCAAAAAAAACCCGAATCCCCCTAAACCTGACATTGAATACACCAACAACAACACACGACTGTGACTGTTTCGGTATACTTTACATACTTTTTGCTAATCATACGGAGGACCAAAGAGCCATGGTAACCACAGGAAGTCAGAACTCTATTGCAGGGAAGAGGCTGTGGCTCGGTGGTAGAGCCTCTGCTTTGCATGCAGAAGGTCCCAGGTTCAGTCCCCCACATATCCAGTAAAAGGGATCAAGAAGAGGTGGTATCCAAAGACCTCTGTCTAAGACTGTCAGAGCAGACAAGACTGACCTCCATCAAACAAGGGAGCAACCCTACGAAGAACTACTCAAAATCCTTCTGAGGTCTATTCAGTGCAGCTTACTCATAGGATAATTTGATTGTCACACAAGGGTCTCATAGTCTAAGGCAGCTTCAAGAGTGTTCATATGCACTCATGTTGGACATTTACAACACAGCGCTTCACGAGGCAACTACAAATTAGTCTTCTCAGGGATTTCAGCATGCCTGCAAACTGCGAACCCAGGTGCGCAGGGTACGAGGTGGGTGGAAGGGTACAACAAAAAGTAGTTCCAAATTCAATTTGCAGCCAGATATCAAATTTAGTTTCATAAAGCAGCTTTCTTTCTCTAAGCCCCACTAAATTCAATAAGAGACACTGCACAGCCAAATAGGCTTATAAAATAGTCCCAAGCCTTCTAGTCACAACTGACTTGTAAATATGAACAACTGATTGCGCCCTGAGAACACAAGTGGAGTGATCTTTTCTGGGCCCATGGGTCAACTCCAGGAAATGCCAACTGCTTGCTCAGTTGTAAATGTTAAAGCAGGGCTACCCAAAATAATGCTTGCGGACACCATGGCACCTGCCAACACCTTTCCTGGGGCCCACCAAGTGTTTTTAGAAAGTGGACAGGACCAGGTAGGGCTTTTGCCCAGCAAGACTTCTGATTGGCCATTGAAGCTTGGCTGTGCAGACTTTGTGGATGCAACTGCCACCACAGCACAAGATTCTTTACTGTGTGACTGAAAGTAAGCTATGGCAGCCATTTTGTGGCTGGCTGGACCTCCTGAGGCAGCCATTTTGTGGCTGTGCCCACCATCCTGTGCCAGAATTCCAAAGCTGTTTGCAGGGTCAAAAAGGCTGGAGCCTCCTATTTTAAAAGTTAACTTATTACAGTGTCTGTGAAATTTGTGGGGAAAGCTCTTCAGAATTCTAGAAGATAACTTGAGAGAGTAACAAGGGATTAAAGCACTGGTCCACCTCCCCCTTGCCCACAAATGGCCTTCAGGGGAAAAAAATATTGCCTACTAGGAGTAGAAAACCACATTAATGTGGTCTGTGGATGTTCTGATGCTTAGTCAGTGTGTTTTTGTGACTAAACCGCTTCCCACAGTCAGGACACCCATAAGGTCTCAGTCCCCTGTGAGTTCTCTGATGCCCAGTCAGCTTATCTCTCCGAGAGAAGTTTCTGCCACACTCGGGACATATGTATGGTTTCTCTCCTGTATGGATTCTTCGATGAACCATCAAGTGTTCTCTCTGCCTGAAGCATTTCCCACACTGAGAACATTCAAAGGGTTTCTCTCCTGTATGAATCCTCCGATGTCTCGTTAGCGCTCCTCTCAGAGTGAAACTTTTCCCGCACTCGGGACATCCGTGCAGTTTCTCTCCTGTGTGAGTGATTTGGTGCTTTTTCAAAGTTTCTTTGTATCGGAAGCATTTCCCGCACTGAGCACATGGATACGCTCCACCTTCGGCGTGAACTCCATGGTGTCTCTTTAGTGACTTTATACAGCTGAAGTTTTTCCCACACTGAAGGCAACTGCAAGGCTTCTCTCCCGTGTGGTGGGTTTGATGTCCAAATAAATTATCCCCGATCTCTACTAATTCATACTGCTTGTTGCCCATGTCGATTCTCTGTTGATCAAGGACATGTTTTGACTGGATGTTTTGCGCTGATGTGGGACAATCATCACTGGGATTCTCTCCGGTATGCATCGTAACGAGTCCAGATTTGTAGCGGTGTTTCCGCCCAGAGCTGGCGAACAAAGGCCTTTTCCCTGCTGGGTCCACCGAATAGGTGTTGCAAAACAAATCTGCGAGGCCTTCTGTGAACCGACTTCCTTCATTCTCTTCTGGCCTCTCCTGTTGCCAGTCAGACACATATCTCTCCCTATGGATGTCAAATGTCCCGGGAACATTCCACTGAGTTATTTCTGCTAATGTCCCATATATTTCCTCTGGGCCAGAGTGTCCCTGCTGAGAGTTCTCCACTTTGATCTGACTTCTTTTCTCATTACCTGAAGAGACAGAGAGAGGAATTTTGTCCATGCTTGCTCACCTCTTGACTAGAATCCTGCAACCTCCATCTTACAGCCCTTCCCCTCCTCTCCTGTCTCCCTGTTCAGCCGATTTCGGCAGCCTCCACTTAAATGTCTTCTCCCGTCTCTACAATCACATTATATGCCCCCTTGTGTCCAAAGTCTAATTTTTCTCTTGCCCTGATCTGGGTGGCTTAGGCTAGCCTGGTCTCGTCAGCTTCTGGAAGCTAAGGAGGGTTGGCCCTGGTTAGTATTTGGATGGGAGACCGCTGAGAAAGTCCAGGGTCATGACACAGAGGCAGACAACGGCATGCCACCCCTGACCGTCATTCGCCTTGAAAACCGTACAGGGTCGCCGTAAGTCAGCTGCGACTTGACAGCGCTTTCCACCACTACCAATTCTTCACTTAAAAAAAATTACAGGAACAGAAGAGATATGTACCACGGTAAACTTAACTGTGTGTAAAAGCGACCAAGTGTACAAAGGTATACAGATCAAGGAAGCGCTCTACTTTGCACAGATCTATGGTACTGCTACTTATTGGTAGTGAGATGGAGAACACCCTCTACAAAAGACAGAAGACCAGACCTGCTGCCTTCCATTCTACTGATCGAACCCCGGGTCAGACCTTCCCTGCGGAAAGGGGACAGTGCTAGCTCAAAAGGACTGTGCTTTGTGAGGCAATCACAGACTAGAGTTTTCTGCACACTCACGGGATACAATTCCCAAGCTGCCCTACAGGAAGACAATGGCAGGCACTTTTGGTTTTAGAATATACAACCTCCATAAGCCTAAAATGGTGTACTTGTTACTAATACGATGAACTTTGCGTCTTGTGTATGTACAACTGATCCTTCCGAGGGTACAACTGAGATCAATGACTCTGGGCCTCTGGGTCAAAACTGAGGGATACCGACCGGTGGTTCTGTTGCTATCTCAGGTTAATTCTGATGCTACCTTGATGTAGTGTTGGTGGCATCTTTGGAAACAAACCTTCCAAGAGGACCACTTTGGGGCAGTAACAAGAACTGGAGGCACTGGCTCACCCTGGTTCTGAAATGACCCTCTGGGGAAATCAGGTGCCAGTTCAAAAGCAAAACCTCTGTCCAGCACGCTACGCTTCAGTCTGTCCTCCATGAAATCTCTGGTATGCGATCATCTGATCTCTCACAGAGAAGCTGCCACCACCAGCTGTTTTGTACGTTTGCCGTCCTCTGGTGGTCCCATCTGCTGATCCCCCTGAACGAAACCTTCCTCCCGCACTCAGGACAACAGTAAGGGGTTTTTCCCCATATGGCTGCTTTGATGTCTAATCAAATTGGCCCTCAGAGGAAAGGTTCTTCCACACTCCAGACACTCGTGAGGTTTCTCTCCTGTATGGATCGTCTGATGTCTAATTAAGTGAGCCCTCTCAATGAAGCAGTTCCCGCACTCAGGACATTTATGGAGCTTCTCCCCGGTGTGCAACCTCAGATGTTTCGTCAATGCTCCTTTGGAAGCAAAGCTTCTCCCGCACTCAGAACATTTGTAGTATTTCTCCCCTACGTGGCTGCTTCGATGTCTCATAAACTTAGATCTCATATGGAAGATTTTCCCACATTCGGGACATTCATAAACCCGCTCTCCTATTTGGATTGTCTGATGTTGGCGCAGGTCTGAGTTTTGCTCCAAGTTTTCCTCTAGAGTCGGATGCTCATAGCAATCCTCTCCAGTGTGCTTTACCAGAAAACCTGCATTGTGATGGTCACTTTTGCCACACTTGGGGACGAAGGGGTTTTTTGCCATGGCACACAATGCAGAGCTCTCACTAACAGCAGATTTAAGAGCATCTGTGGTCTCACTGCATTCATTCTTTCCCTCCGCAGGTTTCTTCCCCACCTCCCCAACAGATGCCCCCCTTTGCTTGTGCATTTCAGATGGCCCAGGTCTGTTCCACTGGGTGCCTCCTGCTAATGTCCTGAGTGTTTTCTCTGGTCTAGTCTCTGTCTCTGCCTGCTGAGAGTTCTCCGTCTTGATCTGACTTCTCTTCTCACCACCTGAAGAGACAGAGAGAGGAATATGGTCCAAGCTGCGGTGAACTCTTTTTTAAAAAATCATTTAAAGCTTACTGAAATCTTCTTGTCGTATACTTGGGGGAAAGGGCTGTGGCTCAGTGGTACAGGATCTGCTTGGCATGCAGAATGCCCCAGGTTCAAACCCTGGCATCTCCAGTTAAAAAAGGACTGGGTAGTTGGTGATGTGAAAGACCTTGACCAGACACCCTGGAGGATCACTGCCCATCAAGAGTAGACAAAAACTGGCCTTGATAGACCAAATGGTGTTTGATGTGGTATAACGCTATATGTGTTCACAGGCTTATTAGGCATAAAATATTTGTGCTACACACAGTTTATGGGCGAAGGAAGAAGGTGTACTGGAAACCAGATCCACCCATTCTACAAGTCACTTTACACATCATCAAGGATTCTCTGTTGAAAGACCAAAAGGCATCAATCAAAACAGTTCCTAGGAATTGCATTTGGGGAAGAACAACAAACCTCCAAGTCTCCCAAGCGTGCTCACGAGACACATTTCCCAGGGTGCCTTGGGGGAAAGCAGTAAGAAGTACAGTGGTCTAAAATATTATTTACAACCCAATTTCAAAGAAGAAAATCTTTCAGTCCCATGAAGCGCCAACTGAAGCGTGTCAGACTACTGTCTAAGCTACCTTACTGTTTACTAAGGAAGAGACATATGGAACACTCTGTGAACAATTTGACATTCTCAGAGCATTTAGAAAGGTCAACAACAGCATTGAGAGAAGAAGCTGTCAATGCGCAAAAGGGGTACTCCGAAGCTTAAATCAGGGTAACTTTCCCCCTGAATCTCTTCCCGCATCCAGAACATCCACAAGATCTCTGCCCTCTCCTTTGCAAGTTCTCTGATGTCTGAAGAGTTTCTCTCTCTGAGAGAAGAATCTTTCACGGTCTGGTCATTTACATCGCTTCCCTCCAGCATGGGTTGACTGATGTTCGATCAACTTGTCTCTTCGAGAGAAGTTCCTCTTGCATTCATGGCACTGGTACGGTTTCTCCCCCGTATGGATTCTCTGATGTCTCACCAAATCGCTTCTCTGATTGAAAGACTGACTGCAATGTGAACATCCAAACGGTTTTTCCCCGGTATGGATAGTCTGATGCCACTTCATATCTCTTTTCCGACAGAATGACAGGCCGCACTGCGGACATCTGAATGGATTCTCTCCGGTACGGGTTCGCTCACTTTCCACTGATACTAGCCTATGAATTTTCCCAGACTCAAGACTTGGTTTTTTTCCAGTAATGGTCCTCTGATGGGTTGTCACCTTCTTCAAGTCACCAAAGTTTTCCCCACCCTCGGGATGTTCATAATGTTTCCCCCTATCTTGGGTTGTCTGATGCTGTTCAAGGTACGATTCTTTCATAACACGTCCTGATCCGCAGGGGTGCCTTCTACTATACTTAGACATTGTCGAGCGTCCTGCCCTGGGACGCACCACAGAGGTCTCGCTATCGGCAGGAGCGCCACCTTCCGTGCGTTCGCTGCGCTCCTTTCCTTCCTTCCCCTGCTCCCAACGGGACTCACATCTTTCCTTGTAAATTTCAGCTCTTGTGGGAAAATTCCATCGGACTATTTCTACTAACATCCTGGGTGTTTCCTCTGTCCCAATCTCTCCCTGCTGAAACTTCTCCTCCACCTGGAACTGATTTCTCTTCTCATCACCTGAAGGGACAGACAGAGAAGAATTTTGTCCATGGCTCTAGGTCACCTCCTTTCTAGATTATCGCCATCTCCTTCTTCCCCAGCCTTCCACTCCAGCTGACCTGGGGAGCCTCGGCTAAACTATCCATTGAAATACCTGCTAAACTGAGTGTCCTGTCAAAGAAACTCATTTGATGGGCTCGGAAGAGAGGGCCTTTTCAGTGGCCACCCCATGATGATGGAACAACTTCCCCAGGGAGATGCACCTGGCCCCCCTCACTTGTGATCTTTAGGAGGCCGTTGGAGGTGGTTTCATTTAGGAATACATTGGCTTTAGTTTACAAGCAGCCCTGAGTCCTGATTTTAAATTTTGGTCTTTATGTATTTTACTTATCTCATAAGCCTCCTTGAGCTATGTAAAAGGTGACTAATAAATGTTTTAAATAAATAAACAAAATCCATCCTGTCCCTCCATCTCCCTTTTCCTTATCACAAGGGCTATGTGTGTGTTCTCCTCCCCTAGGTTTAAACAGAAAAAAAATCCGCAATTTCCCTGTAGGTTGTGCAATGTAGACAGACAATCAGACTCATGTTCTCCACTTCCCATTATTTTACATAACGTCACTGTTCTTCCCATGGGGAAGGGCAGGAAGAGAAAATGGAGCTTGACACCCATCTTTCTATTTTTCACCTCATGGCTTCCTTGTTTTTGGTAGGAGAGAGGAACATTCCAATTTAAAAGCGAAGATTATGCTTCGTGAGGCAATCTGAGACCAACAGGTTGCATTCAGATGTCATTTTTAACTGGCAGTAAACGGGGATCCCCCTGACCTGGATTGGCCCAGGCTAGCCTGATCTTGTCAGATCTCAGAAGCTACGCAAGGTTGGACCTGGTTCGTATTTGGATGGGGGACCAACCAAGGAAGCTCAGGGTCACTACATGGAGGCAAGCAATGGCAAACCACCGCTGAACGTCTCTGGCCTCAAGAACCCCATGAGGGGTCGACGGAAGCCATCCGCAACTGGTTGGCACTTTCCGCCACCAAACGGGGATCCTCAGAAGACTGACTTGGTTACCCTGTTTGTCTCACTCCTTGCTTTCTCTCTACACCTTCCCACACAGAGAATCCCGGTCGAAAACTATCTCCAGTTCTCCATGAAGGCGAGCGTGTGGGTTAACAGGGCTAATTTCCCTCTCTCCTCACAAACCGAGATTCTAAGCCGGAGTTCAATTCAGACATAGAATACTGATTTGATTGGGGCGGAGGGGGAGCTAACTCTGGTTATACCACCTGCCTGCATTTGTATGTCAGATAACTATTTCGTTTCTAACCAGGATTTCCCCCGCACGCGCACACATACACACACACATACAAAAGGAAGGAAGGAAGGAAGGAAGGAAGGAAGGAAGGAAGGAAGGAAGGAAGGAAGGAAGGAACCTGGCACATGCCCAAGCCCTGCAAGAAGCTAGTGTCACAAAATCAGCTGAGAGACCCAGGTCTGAATCCCCATTCTGCCATGGAAGCAGCTTACTGAGGGAGCCTGGGGCCAGTCAGACCTTCCCAGCCTAACCGACCCCATGGGGCAGACTGGAACAGGAGAGAATGATGTTGTGAGCCATTGGGGGAGAAAAGAAGAAAAAGAAGAGGAGGAGGAGGGGGAGGAGGAGGAGGAGGAGATTGGATTTATACCCTGCCCTTCACTACCCAAGGGAGTCTCAGAGCGGTTTACAAACTCCTTCCCCTTCCCCTCCCCACAACAGACACCCTGTGAGGTAGGTGGGGCTGAGAGAGCTCTGACAGAAACTGCTCTTTTTTCAAGGACAGCTCTTATCAGAACTATGGCTTCCCCAAGGTCATCCAGCCAGGTGCAAGTGGAGGAGTGGGGAATCAAACCCGGTTCTCCCAGATTAGAGTCCGCGCACTTAACCACTACACCAAAGCAAGGTACAAATATCTCAATAAATAAATAAATACATCCCCGCTTAGTGCTGGCCGGAAGCGACGCTTCAGCGCCACGTCCATCTCTCAAGAGGCTTTTTCGAACCCTCACAAAACACAATTCCCAGGAGTCTTTGAGGAAAAGCAACGAGAGGGATGTGGATTGAGGACACGCAACGAGAGGGATGGGATGTCAAAAACGTTCACTTGTTAAGTTCCACGGGAACTATTCCTACCACGTAGTCACAGTCTATGCTAGCCTACTTCCTGCTTATTAACACAGATCAATTTGAAGATTCATCTCCACAACCTAAAGCTCACTTCAACAACAGAAGGCTAATCCAGCTCCCTAGGCCTGCCAGGGGGCCGTTCTGCAGCCCACCAAGAAGCTGAACTGATGTGTTGGTGGAGGTGTCTTTCAGAAGAGAATCTGCAGAAAGGCAGCATGACGAGGGGAAGGGGTTTAGGTGCTGGTTCAGTATCCTGCACTTGCTTCTCAAAGATCCCGTTCCATGACTGGTGGCCATGGGACTACGAACTCTGCCCAGGTGCTCTCGCGCTTCATCAGGGTAGCTTTCTGACGGAGACTCTTCCCGTGCCTGGGGCATTCACAAGGGCTCTGCCCTCGCCTCCATGCGTCCTCTGATGTCTGATCAGTTTATCTCTCCGAGAGAAGTTCCTCCCGCACTCAGGGCACTGATGCGGTTTCTCTCCTGTGTGGATTCTCTGGTGTCTAATCAGATGCACTCTCTGAATGAAACTCTTGCCGCACTCAAAGCACTTGTACGGTTTCTCTCCCGTGTGGATTCTCAGGTGGTTCATCAAAACTGTTCTCTGGATGAAGCGTTTCCCACATTCGGGGCACTGGTATGGTTTCTCTCCAGTGTGGATTCTCAGGTGTCGCATTAACGTGTTGGACGTGAAGGTTTTCCCACACTCGGGGCAAGCGTATGGTTTCTCCCCCGTATGGCTGCTCTGATGTCTGATCAGGGTCGCTCTCAGAGGAAAGCTCTCCCCACACACAGAGCACTGATAAGATTTGTCTCCTACAGGCATTATGCAACCTTTGTAGAGGTCTGAGGTTCCCTGGAAGTTGTCCCCCCACAGAGAACTTACATAGTGGTCCTTTCCAGTATGTTTTGTAATGAGTCCTGATTCGTACCTCCTACCGTATTGGGAGACCAAGGGATTCTTTGCCCTAGCGGGCACTGCAAAACTTTTGCTATTGGCAGCCGTAAGACCGTCTGCAATCTCACAGCATTCGCTCTCCCCTTTCATGGGCTTCATCCCCTGTTCCCTATTGAACTCACATCTCGGCACGTGAATTTCAGCTGTCGCAGGGAAATTCCACTGGGATATTTCTGCCGCTGCCCCCTGTGTTTCCTCCGGGCCCGCCTCGCCCTGCCGAGAGCCCTCCATCTTGATCCGGCTTCGCTTTTCGAGACCTGAGGAGGAAGAGAGAAATTTTCCAAGTTTTCTCGACTTCATTCTGGACTATCCTCTCCCTCTACTGTTGACTTCCATGGCCTTGACTGGCACTCAGCTTCCTAATCCGTCCCTCTGCCCTTCTGTGTGTGCTTTGAGCTAAATATCATATTTTATCATTGGATTAGATTTTTTTTAGGCTGCCCTTCCCTGCAAGCAGGGCTCGGGGCCGCTTACAACGAAGGTGTATACAATAGTGATGTCAGGGGGTGTGGCCTTATGACACACTTCCGGTGATGTCAGGGGGTGTGGCCTTATGACACACTTCCGGTGATGTCAGGGTGTGTGGCATATGCTAATGAGTTATGCTAATGAGTTCCCCTAGCTCTTTTTCTACGAAACGATCCCTGACGTACATCAACAAATAAAGCAATCCGATTCCAAGATGGTGGTGGTGGTGGGGGAATTCAGCTTCCACAAGCCTCCGGCAGTGTGTGTGTGTGGGGTAGTGTTTTTTTTTTGCAGAGAATGGAGAGTAGGAGAGTGCCAGACTAAATGCTATCCTGTCGCTGTCCCCGACCAAATGCCTGGTGGAACATCTCTGCCTTACATGCCCTGAAGAAAGGCAACAGATCCTGCAAGGTATGGATGTTCTCCAGCAGAGAGTCCCACTGGGCAGGGGCCAGGGCCAGAAAAGCCCCGGCCCTGGTTGAGGACAGCCGGATCCCTCTTGGGCCAAGGACCACCTGGAAGTTCTTACTTCCCGAGCGTAATGCTGTCCTGGGAAATCAAAACACTCCATATCTGCCAAATCTGCATATCGCAGTTCAACTTCTGCTAGCTCGAACTGGTGGGAGAGATCCACAAAAAAAAACCAAAACCCCAGGCTCAGGCACACATGCACACAACCCCCACGACATGCGCCAAAACAGTGGCACGTCAGACAGTTCTGCACAGCACAGCTGTCAGTTTTGCATAGCACGCTGGGTTTTCCACCGGGTTTTGGGGGAAAAAGTGTGTCTTATAGAGCAAAAAATGAAGGGAAAGGAGTTTGTAAGCCGCTCTGAGACACCTTTCGGTAGTGAAGGGCGGGGTATAAATCCAATCTCTTCCTCCTCCTCCTCTTCTGCTAGCTCGAACTGGTGGGAGAGAGCCACAAAAAACCCAACAAAACCCCAGGCTCAGGCACACATGCACACAACCCCCACGACATGGGCCAAAACAGTGGCACGTCAGACAGTTCTGCACAGCACAGCAGTCTGTTCTGCATAGCACGCCGGGTTTCCCACCCGTGCAATGAAGGGGAGCCCCTCTGATACTGGTGGTGCTGCCAAGGTGGGCAGCGTGAGGGAAAGGGACAGGTACGCCTGACACCCATCACTGCGACAAGCTCAATGGCCTGGCGGCACCATTGGGGCTCATGACCCTCCCAGCATGGCCGGACCAAACATAACCCATCTCCTCGTCTCATTCTCCCACTGGCTAGCTGGGAAATCAATGTCTTTACAGAAAGACACTGTGGCAACCGATGCTTTCATAAGGAGACCCTGTGGCAAGTTCCCAGTCATGGAAAGAGGGGAGATTT